GGAAGACCCTTAAGAAGCAATGACCCTGAACTTTTTATAGCTAACCTTCACCCTACCCAGAAAACAAGGCACACAAGAGGTAGTCAATAAATAATCAATCATTGGAGATTTCCCATCTTCACCAATGGGCATGGGAAAAAAATCAAAAACAAGGGTTGAAACCTCTCACACTGTAATTTATCAGTTGAGAAATTAAGACTGGGAAAAAACTGCACGAGTATGAAGGTCACCCTGATAAAGGGGAAAAAATACACGTGGTGTGAGAAGACTATTGCACTTGAAATGTGCACTGTACATATCTGCCAAGGATGCCAAACATCTTCTGAAATCAGGCTTACCAAACTGGTCTTTGTTTCCCCACTAACACATTATAGGGGGTCTAGTCCACCTATGGCCGTCTATTTAAAACGTGAGGGGTTTTCCTTTTTCTTTTCTTTTAACCCTTTGAATATGATTCACTTAGTCCCCATCCCCAAAGCCCTTCCCAGAGAGTGGCGGGGGGAGCGCTGTGGGAAGCCCTTGCTGAGATACTTAGCGGAACTTTGGTCTCCACCGGGCTATTTAGGAGCGTCGCGGTTCCTCGCGTGACTCCAACGCCTCCCTGGTCCTTCTCACGCTGCGAGCGGGAGTCAGGGCGATGAGAGAGATTCTCCCAGGCAGTGCGGGGAGGCGCTGACCATGGTCCTGGCCTTCGAGCTCGGGACGCGAGCGCGGAGGGCGCCAGAGGGGATGCTCTGGGAGAGCGCGCAGGGCGCGGCGGGGAGCGGCCGTCGAGGCCCCCGCCCCACCCGACCCCCGGGGAGCCCGCTGACCTTCCCGCGAACCCTCCACTCTACGCTCTGAGCTGCATCAAAAAAGGGTGGGGCAGCCAGCCACAGCTGCAATCGGAAGCCGCCCCGGAGGATTTAAGAAGAATGGAGCCGCGGCCCATCCCCCTCTCCAACCATGAGACCCCCCATCCCACTCCCCCGGACGGGGATAGGTCCATCCTTTACCTCCCAGGCCCTGGAAGGCGCGGGCAGCCTTTGTGGGCGCAAAGCCGCCCACTGCCGAGCCAGAGCCTCTCGGCACCCTTCAAGGAGAAGGGGTGGGTAGGGTGGGGTGCGTGTGCACATGCAGGGAGACGACATTCGAGGCGGGGCAGAACAGTGGGCACGCCGGGATTCTCGGTTCTCCACCGAGCTGGTAGAGGGACAAGGAAGGGGCGATCCTCACACCGCGTCCTCTGTCTCAAACACCGCCCCCCGCCCCCATACCAACCTGGTCGTTGATGTTCTGCAGGGCTTCCTTGCCCGAGGCCCGCCGGATCTCCACCTTCCGGCCCGATTCAACAGATGGCTCCCCGCCTGTGCGCCGGCCCTGCCGGGAGTACGGCGGCTGCGGGTCCGGGCCCAAGTGGGCGACGTCCCGCTGCTGGGCCACCACCTGCCCCGAGCCCCGGCCCACGGACAGCGAGTCGAAGTCGATGGTCTTGTTTTCCGAGGACCCTTCCACTGGACAGAACATGCCACAGAATTTCTGCCGGGGTTTGGGGCTGCCTGAGCCCAGGTTTTTAAAAAAGGCAGGGACCTCTTCGTCCTCTGCTGCCTTCCCGGATTGCTTCCTCTCGGCCATGGCGTGGCGGCTTGGGGAGGGTCCTTTCCGTCCGTCTGTCCGTCTGCCGGTCCCTAAGTCTGCCTGTCTCTATGCACAAAACCCCCCGGCTGCTGCCGCGGCGGCCGCTCTCTGCCTACCGCAAGGTGTACAGAAAGGAAGGAGGGATGGCGAGCGAGAGACGCACCCCTCCTGGTCCCTCCCCCTGACCCCGCTTTCTCCCCTCCCTGCCCACGCCCCCCGCCGCCGCACGAGCTCGGGCGAGCAGCGAAGTTGGATCTGGAAAGGCGGCCGCTGCGGC